TTTAAAGCATGGTTTTATATATTTTCATAAATGGAAAAAGAGCATCTGGAAAAGTATCTATCAGTATACTATAGTATGTATATTATGTTTTTAAAGGCAGAATCAGCAAAGATCTGCAAGCTCATATCCATCAATAACAGATGCAACTGGTTGATAGAAACACTGTTTTCCTGCTGCAATGATTTGTGGACATTTAGGATTTAGATGATATCTTGGATCAAAACGGAAATCTCTGCTAAGTCTTGTTTAGGCTGTAACAAGGACCTGAAATGTTAATTTATTAAACCATCTAGTTTGCTATGTTTAAAAGAAGGTAAAGGAAAGAGTCTGTTAAATATCAAAGGATGCAACATTACTGAAATAGTACATTAATTTTTGTTCTTTTCTAAAAAACACAAACGAGATCCGACATTTATTGGCATTAATAGATGTTTAATCTCTCTGGTAATTAATTTAAAAAACAAAAAATGACCCATGCTGGGAAAACTTATTATCCTTTGATCTGATATAGAAATGGATGATGAATAATGAATGAAACATAAAAATGTTCTTCAGTAAATCTTTACAACTGAAAGTGATTGTTATAAATGTTTTCATTCATTTTATGTCTTATAATATTCTCATAAATTCATATTTTACAGTGTAGATGTTGCAGATATTTTAGTACTATGTTTGGGGGGAAATGTTTCTGTGGGCAGTGCAACATGCATGATTGTTTGTTTTCTGTGGCTGTGATGACTGAATGCCATGGCTGCATAAAAAAAACACTAACAAATTGAAAACATTAATACTTTTTGAGCCAGATTGTCATCTTTAAATGTTCACATTCTGCACAGAAGGATTTAAAGTTGCAATTCAATTGACAACGCCATCTCCTGACCGGGCAAAGAAGCGCAACTCCCTCACAGGTTACCCCTCTTTACCCTTTGTGATACCACTAAAGCCTGTGTGTTTATCCTAAAACACTTCCACCTTTTTTAAGGAAAAAAAACACCCCTCAAACTGCTCTCCCTTTTCAGAGATCCTCGATCAGACCCAGAGAGGCCGCTGCAGCAATCACTTTCCCAGATTACTTGTATTTAATACACAATGCATCATAAAACAAATCCCTCATCCTGACAGGAAGAAAATAGAACAGCTCATTCGACTTGAGCCTTCCCAATTTATGGCTAAATTAAAAAGGCTTCCAACAATGGACAAGTCGAGGAGAGGCAGGAAATCAATGACCGCGCGGACCAGGGGTCTCTCCAGCAGTTCTCAAGGAGCGCGACACGATGGGAATCAGTGGCAGGGCCCCTGCCTTATTTACACATGATTTTTTTCCCCTTGTCCTTACTGCACAATATTACACTGTAATTTTACAAAAGAAGGGGAAACACAATGGCCATTATCTGGGGTGGAAGGTCAATGTCACAGGGTGAGGAGTTATCCTCTTTAATTATCCTGTCTCCAGTTTTATGAGCTACTTATTAAATTATTGTTAATATTATTATCATTAACCTACAATGCTGCTAATTTCATAAATAAATGTCCATTTTTTTATTTCCTATATCGAGCTATTCTATTTACATCTATACAGGCCTTGGCAACACAGAACCAAGAATAAAATACCTTTTAATTTTAGTTCCAGTCAGAAATTTTTTCCAACATTTTTCTGTCAAGCAGAGAGGTTTGATTATATGAAAGAGTTCATTAACTCTTTGTGCTATGCCATGAAGCAGAATGAATGGAAAGATAAACTGCCAAGAACAAAAAAAAAGCAGGTGATTAGGTCAATGTCCCTGAAAAAAGTGGGTTCTAATGGTCCATATGGAGTTTCCTGGAGGTCTTTAACAGGAACACTTAAGTCTGTGGTTGTTAAATTGCTCCCCTGACACACAAAAAGTTGGTTTGATGTATTTCGTTTTTTTTGTCTTTTTTTTTACCTCATTGTCTCAAGTATACCTTATGCACTGGTATGATTCTTGGTTAAAAGAAAAACAGAACAACAAGAAAGAAGTTTAATTTTATCAAGAAATCATGTAGAAAAAACAGGAGGGGAGGGGGTGCAGGCCAGTCGCTCCTAAGTTACATTTTTCCTGTTTGTAGTACACAGCGGGACAGTATCAAGTGTAATTGCTGAAACTATAGTGGGCGCTGTTTCCGTGTAGAAAATAAACGTGATTCTGCGCGTATTTTTTTATGGAAAAAACAGATAAACAAAATGAGCATATTTGAAATTTGGAGGAGTTTGGATATGGATTTTTTTTTAACTTTGTTGTTAATGCAAATTTAGGACATTTTAAGAACATTCATCGCTACCAAATAATAGAGGTGACGTCACGTGATCATTCCTAGCTTTTATAGATTAAGGCTGGAAAAAAAAAAAAGATTAAGGCTGGAGGGTGGACATTGATTTATTGCTTTTTTTGTACTTCTTACACATAAAAAGAAAATTAAGAATACAAAAAAAAAAAAAAAAACGTATAGGCTACTTATTTTTTTTTTTATCTGTTTAATTTCTATTTATCTACACCCACCCCCAATAAATTCCAGAAACCTATATTTTTCATGTTCATTAACGGATTCTGATTCCCAAAACATGCAATTTGTTTATTCATTTATTTACACATGACATGTAGCTACTGTGAAAACTGTTTTCAGTCTCAAGAGGCTACATAAGACGTCGGTCTGCATGTTCAGGTAGAAGATAACATTTTATAAGACAGGAAAAAAAGTTTTCGAACTTTTAAATCATTAAAGTGTGTCTGTCTGTGTTGTGTGCCTATGTGGAGATCATCCCTCTCATGAGCCCCCATCGCGACCTCTCCCTGACCCTGCTCACCCTCTCCAACCCTGGGCCCCTGTCACTTTAAAATTTACTGCGGAGCTGAGTCTCTTCCGATGGCGGTGATGGGGGGGCAGGAGGGGGCTGCACAGGCAGACCCCCGCGATCCGTGTTGACTCTCCTCAGGGGGAAAGGATGGAGACGGAGGCGCGGGGACCCCTCTTTATACGAGCAGAATCAGAAACAACGCGCAAACTGTCCGCCTGCAGCAATCTCCCCCTGCTGCCACACAGACGACACATCCCAAGCTGTCTGAGGAAGAGAGGGGGGTGGGGGGTGGAGGAAGAGAAAATGAAAAGTTGAATGGATCTCTGAAGGACACCTGGGCGCGTCAGGACAGGAGGGGTGACAAGAGGAGGAGAGGACGAGCCGAGCAGAAGCGCGCAGAGCAGACAGAGTGAAAAGTTGGCTGCGCTCGATGAAGATGATGATGATGATATTTAGTGCCGTCCCGCGGTGTTTGTAGGACAGTGAGAGGAGAGGAGAGCAGCGCTGTCTGGATTTACTCCTCAGCCAAACGGCAGCGGCGCGGTGTCCGAGCGCGCACCGGCGGAGACGCACAGGCTTGGAGAGCCGCTGAAACGCAGCGCTCTGTCTGCCCCAAAGCTGGAACAGACACCATAGCAACAACAACTTCTACTGTTTTTTATACTGTTCGAAGTCTTTCAAAGTTTTTATTTTTTATTTTTTTTACTTTCTTTATCGGAGTTTAAATCCCATTTATCATTCTAAGAGGCTGTAACACCAGCGTGAACGGTAAGATATAGACTTTTATACACCGATCGTTAAAAATAACATAACAGTTTGTTTGCTCGAATATCTTAAATCTATAAAGTTATGCTTTAAACGCACTCGATCGACTCTTGATTCCAAATTTAGTTTATATATATATTTTTTATGAGCAAAACATTTATTTCCTCGCAGGTTAACAGAAAGGCGTTGATGCAGATTTGCGACCCTGAAAGAGATTCTGTTTTGCATCCTAACAATCGGCTTGTCTTCATAATTCTTATCACTCTGCGCTTTCCTGCAATTGATTTGCTTCCCTGCAAACTTTACAGCCGCTCTGCACAAACCAGGAGCATTTTAAGACGAACAATACGTCATTTAATCCTCATGCATTTTCTCTTGCTGTAGCCTTATTATTATTATTAGCACGAATTATTACTATTATTATTTATTATTATTATTTTTTGGTTCGTACTATAATATTATAAAATAATAGTATTTTTTCTAAGGTTGTTGCTGTTTTAATGACTTCCGTTGTTGTCTGTTATATTTTATTGAATGGGAAAAAAAAGAAAAATGGGCGATAAAAAAAAAATAATTTTATCTTCAGTTTTAAATATAGCTGTGAAGATAGTTTGAAAAAAAAAATTTAAAGAACTGGAAAAATAAATACATACATAATATTTTTTTTGTTTTTTACTTCCTTGAGTTTCTTTTTCGTAGTGTTTTTTTAATATCAACGATATTTAAACTAGATAATTTTTCATTCTATTTCAATTTTGCTATATTCTATAATATACACTTCTGTTGTTGTGTCAAGACATGAGGAAGATAATAAAATATTTCGTTTCAATCATTGAAATTAAAGTTAAAATATATTTTTTAAACTGTTGACATTCGTAGACTAATTTAATTTATTCATATTTTTTAATAGCAATGATAATATTTACTGTATGTATTTTCTTTTAAGTGTGTATTGCTTTGTATTTGCTGTTGTGTTGGTGTGTGTGTGTGTGTGTGTGTGTGTGTGTGTGTGTACCTGTGTAGCCCTCAGAGTGAGGACAATTTTTTCCAATTTCACCATCAAATTAAGGACCAGGTGTTGCAAAGTGAGGGCATTTTGCTGGCCCTCACATGCTACTTAGCTACTTTGTTAATGGTTAGATTTAGTGCTAAGGTGTCAGTTGGTTAGGGTTAGGTTTAGGGTTAGTTTTAGGGATAGGGCATGGAAAGGGTTGAAAATGACTGAAAATCAATGGAAGTCAATGGGAGTCAACACGTGGTCCTCACTACGGTGGCAGAACGAGTATGTGTGTGTGTGTTGTCTCATGGAGTGGCTCCTAACATTTAGTGGGAGGTATGTGGTTAGGCAGTGTTTGGACACAGTAACCTGGTCTGATACTGATCAGAGTCTGATCTCTCTCTCTCTCTCTGGCTCTCTCTTTCCCTCCTTTTTCTCAACAGATCGTGGATGGGTCAGGCCATGTAAAGTTCTGCGTCGATGCCAGCAAGCCAGATGCAGGGAGCTGGCTGAAACACATCCAGTTTGCCCCTGCAGCCACGCCACATAACCTGAGAGCGTGCCAGATAGGTGATCAGGTATGTGGAGATGAGTCTTCTCAACACAGTGTGATTAAAAAAATTATTTCTAGAAAGGAAAGAAATAAGACAAGGTAAATGACTTGTTCTTAAAATAATTCCACATGTCTGGTGGGATTTTAAACTCCAGCCTATTTATTTAATTTTTTTTTGAAGATTTTTTTTAAATCTCCTAAGCCACGGCTTTGTATCTGTATTTCCCAACAGTCTCCTGCTGCTGTTCTGTTGAATGAAGTTATTTTGATCTAAGTCAGATAGTCTTATGAGCGTTTGGCCCTCTTCTTCTTCTTCAACTGACAGACACAAACATGGACACACACACAGCTCTTCTGCCCACTGGTTTACCTCTGTATTTGTTTGCTGCTTCCTGCTTCACAAAGACCACAGGGTAGGATCAGAAGAAGCCGCACTCCTGCTGATAGTTCCGCACACTTCCCGGTCACGCTGATGATATAAATTTTAAGATATGCCAGGAATGCCAAATCTCTATTGCTGCTCACCTGGCTGTAGAAAGGTGCGTGCTTCACACATGAGGGCCTGTTCAGCTCAGTAATCCCCACAGCCAGTGGGCTCCTGAAGCAGAGACGGGGGCCTAAACTTTAACTGACTGTGGGGAGAACGCCCTCACTATACTCCAACATAGTCTCACAGGTGGTCTGTCTAGATAACTTATTTGATGTCCTGAACTTATTTTTTTGGTGCAAAATATATATTTATATCTCTCAACAAAATCTTTATAAATTTTGTTCAATTTATGTTTCAACTTTTGAAGTTTTGCTTTCTTTCAAACTGCTGATGAACTTCCGACAAACTAATCTTTCACACATCTCAGTGAGGAGAGACAGCAGAAGGACCTGATAAATTGGAGCAGAAGCCCTTTCATGCATGCTTACCTCTCCGCTCTTGTAAAAGACAGAGACAAACAAGCAGAGAGAGCTTCCCCTGAGCTGCCCTCCACGCAAGGTGCGACTCACTGTCAGCGCAGCGGTTCTGCTTGGGTGGCTCTGTAAGGCTGCCACAGGTCACGGACATGGCTATGATGAGGTGATTGTTAAGTATCACGCTCTGTCACAGCACGGCACATTGTGCTGTCTTTAAGCCTTCCGGCCGAACGCTGGTGTTTTCGAAAATTCACTGTAGCCTCTCACAATGCCCGTCTGTGCGTTGGAAAATGAATAGACTAAACGGGGTGGTCTTGTAAAGCTGCTGTCAGATTTTGCCGGTGTGTGTCTGCCCTGTGTCTCTAAGCTCATGGGGGCCCTTTTTTGCAAGTGTGACGAGTGTTTCATTATGTCTCCAGTGTGTGTGTGTTTTTCTGTGTGTGCGCACACACCTGTATGCGTCTGTGTTTGTGCTTTTCCCCACGTACAGACCTCGGTGTGTGTGAATTGTTCATTGAGGTTTCGATGACTCCCTGTGCTCCTCATTCAGAGCTGGAAATGTTGAAGCCACATAGTACCTGATTCCAGCAGGTCTTTTTAACAGCCACAGAGAAAAGCGCTGAGTCCAAACTCAGCCTAAAACCGCTGATTACGCCACACTTTACACACACCACCCCCAGATTTCCACAGACGAGCCTCACACAGTTACCCAGGGCCTCAGATACACGGCAAAAATCCTCCCACAGGATCAACCTAAAGGAACTCTTTCTAAGCCATTAGACAGAACCGATTTGTCGCATGATTTGCATTCGGTCGTTGGCCTTCAACGACAGCAATTTCCAGGTGTGTTTTTGTCTTTATTTTGTGCGGGGCCTTTACAAGCACGAGAGTAAAACCGGCTTCCATCCTCTCATTTCTGACCCAGTTCTGTTTACCATAAAACTTTACGAGGAATCTCACTAGAAGAGGAGAGTGGAAGAGAAAGGAATGAGGAAACCAAAGCCTGTTTTCTTTTATCCTTTTTCTTTCCTTAAATACAGGATCTGTTGGAAGTGATGTCTTTAAAAAAATCACAAAAGTTCTTTTTTCTGTAAGAATCTGGATTACACCTGGATTTAAACATTTGTCAAACCTTTGGCAGTAAAAAGCAAAATGATGGTAATTGGCCTGTACTTAAGTCCTCAAGTAAGGAGACTTGAACAAAGCGCTTTACTCTACGTTCAGTCATTCACCCGTTCACACACACACTCACACACTGATGGTGGCAAGCTACATTGTAGCCACAGCTGCCCTGGGGCTCACTAACAGAAGCAAGGCTGCCATACACTGACCACCATCAGTAGCTGCGGCTTGAACCGTCAATCCTTCGGTTTCAGGGCAAACTTCTACATCCGATGCCATTGTCGCCCCCAGTACATAAAGATTATAGTAATATTGACTAATTTCCCACTGTCTGACTATGATAAGTGATCAACAGGTCAAATACTGAGCAAAGAAAAAATATTTTTCTGCTAATTAAATAAGTCAAACTCCCAACATCCATGAATACATTATTCAATAGCATGTACTTTGTTTTAAGTTCAATGAATCCAACCAAGGCCAGAACAAGCTGTGATGTAAAAATCCTGATAACCTTGTAATCCCTTCTGTTCCCTACTCTATGAAGTAACCTACAGCACCATGTCTCAGGAAAACAAAAATATAGAATCAGTCAGAACTTTAGAATCAATAAATTTCCCATTTTGACAGTTTTTTATTATGTTTTTATTTTATCTTTGCTTGCTGAGAGGGGTGTCTCACTTTATTCAATAGCACTGACATTTCTAAAAGGTTCTTCCTTTAAACAATCATGTTTGGTGTCAGTTAGCATTGAGTTATCCAGGAGAAATCTTTTTCAGCACTAACAAGGGCCAGCTAATAAATTAAATGATACCTTGGAACTATTGTTTGTCTTCTCTAAATAAAAACTCAAGCCTTCTTAAAGACCCTAAACAGCACACTTGCAGCTCACCGAACACAGATTCCCCCCCCCCATGTTTTGTCATTAGGATAATTAGGGGCAATTAGCACTTTAAAACCGGTCTCTGCTCTCCTCACTGTACTGATTCAGCTGAATGGAAAATTAATTAAAAGTGTAATTAACATCATCTAACGAGGCCTAGAAGAGCCTTTCATAAGACAGTACAGAGGGATATGAGAATTAATCTCATCCGCTCTATTGATTCTCGCTCAGTATTGAGTGAACTGAAGTAGCTCTGGGGCATATTGCACAGTGGAGATGATTGTTACTCTAAAAGATAACAGTTTGAATCACATTGAGAAATGAATGGTTGCTTAATAAAATAAATCTGATGAGATAGATGATCTCCTGTGTTTTTTTTAAAGTAAAGTTTTCAACAAAAGAATTGATATAAAGACAAAAAAGTCCCATTAACTCTCTTAGAGAATCACCCAATGTGCTGAAAACGGATAAAAATCGTGTGTATTTTCACAACATAGGGGCTAAGACTAACTTTTACATGTTGTTTTACAAGATGCTCAAAATTTGCAATATTTGGTTGCACAATAGATTACTCTGTAATATTTGGAAGTGCGTTATTGTACATCTTTGGTCTTGCATGTCTTTTTTCACTTTAAATCCTGATCAAGTCTCTGAAACATCTTTTCTTATGTAAGTTTTTGCTTTATGTTCAGCACCCAATCAGAGTTTACTTGGACTTGAGAGTGTCAGTGAATGGGATTCCTGTGGAGATCAGGGAATTAGCGGAGTGTGCAGAGGGGGAAGGTCGGCAATGATGGTGTAACAAGTTGCCCATTTAAAGACAAGGCTTAATCTTAATCAAAAAGTCTTTAATATCGAAGTGACATTTTTTAAATAAATGTGTAAAATGATGAAGATTAAAAGTACTTCATTTTAATTTATCAAGGTTAGCAGGCTGCCATTGTTTTGACTTATAAATCCTGGAAAACCATTGTTAAACTATGATTGGGTTGTCTTTGCATGCAGTTGGGTTTTTTTTTTTTGGTCTATATTAGCATATTTTTAAGATATACAAATAAAGTTAAAGGTATAATGGTGCTTCCAAACAGTAAAGAGTTACTCTCTGTTTTCTATGCTTACCTGTGTTGATACTCATAGTAGTGGGAGAGATGCAGGAACATTCCTCTCCCGTTCCTAATAATCATGCTTTACCCACATTTGTCTTCTCAAACTAATCCAATTTTCTTCATAAAGCAGTTATTTATTAAAGTTTAAATATTTTTAAAGATGACTGGAAGCGTTTCCATATATTTTCCTGTTAGTGGAAAGTTCAACATGCAGGACATCCTGGGCTGCTTTTTTGTTTAAAATGTCCTTCACTTTTGGGTGTTTATTATGATAAATATCTTTTTTCGTTTAAGCACAATAGTTTAAATGGGAAGATCTGTCTCTTTGAAAAGTGTTTTGACATTTTCCAAGATTGTTATACACGGAGCTCTCACTTTAGTTTCCAGCAGCCACTGTCTTAATTTCTTGGTATCAGAGTCAGAACGGATTTTCTACATAATAACAAATCTGCCTGAGCTGCTCTATGATTGTTTCATAGTATCAATATTTTAGTGACCTTACAGAGGTGACAGCATGCAAGAGTTTGGTTCTATTTCTATGCACATGAATGTTAAGCCTTCCCTTTTCTATAGAAAATTGAAGAAAAACATCATTAGAGGGTGAGGACCCTCACACGTCCGTTTCCTTTATTCTTTAGGTGAAACAAAACATGTTTTTCTTTCTTTCTTTTTTTTAAGAATAGTTATTAGGTTTTAATTTGGCATGAAAAAAAAACAAAAAAACAATGAATGTGCAAAAAAAAAAAAGATTAAAATAAAAGAGCTGTGCTAGAAAACAAATTTTAATCTTTAATTAAATTTAGTGGAATTCTTTGTATATATTTTAAAACCCTCTGTTTGTCCTCTAGCCATGTAGGTCAGTATTTCTAACAGAACATCGTTTCATTTCTATCCACATATTAATTAAAAACAGGTCAATTTTTCCTAACGCTATTTCAGTGCTACAACCTCCTGTTAAATTTAGCACGAGACATTTTGTACGTGAAACAAAATGTTATAATGCAGACATGATTCTCAGATCTTTTTTTCTTTTTTTTCAACAAACATTTAAAAGAAACACAAAAACTGAATAAAAACTGTTATAATCACAAAAACTGAATAAAAACTGTTCAGTCTAGAATTCATGTTAACTTAACGTTGTTGGCTGACAACAGTTTTTGTTTTCATTGATTGATTTTTTTATTGATTTCAATCATTTATAAAACCAAAAGCAGACCATTGTACATTGCAGCAAAATTTGATTGAAAAAGAACTGAGAAGAATATTTATATCTTATTTTTCTGCCACTTTTTACAAAACAATCATAAATAACACAATTCATCATAATTCAATTAAAATCCAGTAATATATCTGACTTAACTAGTCATTAATAAGCAAAACACTAGCTAACTTCCAACACAGCGCCATGTGTTACTATTTGGTTTTTCACTCTGTAACCATTTATCTTATTCTCATAAGTAACTGAAAAAATCCAAGACTTTCTGTTTAAAGTCTTTAATAACCATCTGATAGATAGATCAGATGGTTACTGTAGGCCTAACCATTTATTAACATTTAGCGTAAACCACTTCTGATTTTGTATAGCCAAAGTGGGATATTTAACCCACTAATGGAAATTGATGCAAATTCTACACCTACTAGTGATTATACTGGAAGCACATTTCCGCCATCTAGTGGTCATATTCATAAATAATCCCAGTTATGTCTAAATTAGCTAATCTACATTCTAAATTCCTACATTTATGTCAAAATATAATCCATATTTGAAAAATCCTTCTCTAAATTGTGTTTTACATGCGCTTGATACAATTAAATTTTTTGAACTGAAAATAAAGTGAGGCGAAAAGCTGAAAAAATCTAGAACTCATGACAACTTACAATTTGTTCACCAAAAACACATATAAAAAACAACCTTGATAGTAATTTGTTTGACAAAGTTCACATCAACAAGAAATAGAGTGGTATTTTTATCAGCTCTGTGCTGTAACAATCCAGTACAAAAATGTCCTCTGAGCTAGATAAGTATAAAAACACTTTTTATTCATCAATAATTTTAGGAATCTTACTGTTTTCAAAGATCTAGTTTTAATTATACCTCAAGGCCACACATGGTAAGTTACATATCAACGTCCTAAAATCTTTTATGTTTAGCGTGACCTTAGCTTTCTAGTAATTCTGACTATGTTATCTGCAATAAGAAAGAACAATGACAGCACAATAAAGCTGTGATCTACAGAAAACCTCATTATCCTTCATAGAACAAAGATACTTATCAAAAGCTGACATGGAGCCACTGTGGCTCTGGTACTTCAGCTCCGTTATTCAAGAATTCCCTTTATAAGTTGCCTACCTGTGATCCACGACTTCCCAGAAACATTTTCTCACCACTTGCACATCAGCCCCCCCCCAATGCATTTCCAATAAATTCCTACATCATCATTGTCATGTTGACAGAGCAAAGGAAGCTGATATGTTTATCGTCCAAAGCGCACTGAAAATAACCCCATGTGCGATTGTTTTGCAGAGAAAGGCCATTGTCTGTCCATGGGAAGCCCCAGAGTCACAGGGTCTCTCAGCTGATGCTTCAGTGAGACCAAACCACTTTTTGCCCAAATTGATACTCAGCTGCTCAACCAGTCTTTACTAAACATGTTATGGTGATTGTAGAAAAGACGTATAGAAAACATTTTGGTTAAAAATTTGCAAATGTAACCATGATTTTACTTTTCTGCTCTTCCTTGACTGACTTATATAACTCATCCCATCCTCTACTTTAGCAGTTTTTTTTACAGTGTGTCAGTGAGGCTCTGCTATTCAGAAGGAGGATTGTTTATTCTTTCATTCACATATTTGAAAGATGGATGTTTCATAAAATTATTAATTACAAGCTAATGGGTGTTTGTAATTTCATGTGCATAGCAACCCTTTGGGGTGGCTTTGTGGTATTTTGGCCTTGTAAACAGCCATGTTGATCTGTGTGTTTATGTGTGTGTTTGTACACAAAGATCTACGTTAAGGGAAATATGTTCCTGCCGACCTGAGTTAGCTTGTAAATAATATAGAAAAATGGTTTGAACATAAGACCAGGACAGGATACTAAAACGGAACAACTTAGCTCTGCTGTTTTTTATTATGCATGCTTTACAAAATGTCTCCTTTAAGTCATAAAATATATATTGTGTTTATTACAGATCTTCTACAAAGTCACTAGAGAGATTTTTCCTGGCGAGGAGCTGTTACTTTTCATGAAGGCTGAAGATTATTTCTGCAACACGATGGCTCCTGATATTCACGGTGAGCACCGAACCCTCGGCTCTGTCTACTTCGTTCGTGCAACTGCCTTCGTAAAACGTTTCCTCCTGCTTTCACAACACAGAGGAGAGGCAGTATCGCTGTGAGGACTGTGACCAGCACTTTGAGTCTCGCAACCAGCTGCTGGATCACCAGAAGGAGCCATGCGGGATGCCCCCCTCTGCCTTCCTCAACCCAGGTTTGACTTCTGTTTTTGAAAAGGCGTCCCTGTTTCATGCTGTTGTAAACACAGAGCAGCGCAGAGTGACAAGACGGATGAGTGGCTAAAGAGGGTGAACATATATCCGTGTTAGATGCAGGAGTTCAGATAACAGAGGAATAAACTGTGAATGGATGAGTCTACAAATAGATGGAAGCTGTGATTTATCTAAACGTAGAAAGGCTAGATGTGTAACAATCTCTCATTTGAGACTAAAGGTGGGCAATTTGGCAAAACGATTTACTATTAAATTACAGTTAGGTATCATCGATAAAATACTTTTAACCCTATAAAGCCAAATGTATCATATTTGATAGATACAGTTTCTGAAATGTTTTGCATCTGACACCTTTTGCGTAATTTAATGGTAAAAACTTTGCTCAAAATCCTATTGTACACAATTAGATATACCTGATAACAGAGGGCAGAAGACTACACAAAAAATAATCTTGACTTATCGCACAGTAATAAATTATTAATATCAAAAATGGATTTCTGTTTTTTCTTTTTACATATTTTGTTAAAAGGCCAAATAAGGACTTTAAACAAAAAAAAAAGTAATATTCTGTTTCGTTTTATTCTTGGATCTTTAAAGACTTTAAAGGGTTAAAATTAGCCCTGAGAACTAAATAAAAATGTGGAGAAAAGTTCAATCTGTGTATTATATTATGCAAACTTGTTAAATATAGTTTATAGTTTAAATAAATAATCTCTCAAATTCAATTCATACACTTTTCAGGTGCCTTTTGTTGAGGTGCCTGGGGAAATCACATCATTGTCAGAACTGCAACATTGTGCCTAATTATAAAAATAAGTAGTACAGACTTGCCCTTAATGGAGTAAACAAATATCAGTATTTTGAACACCATTCAAACCAAATATTCTTAAGGTTTTTAGATAGCTCTAAGAGTAGGGAAAAATATAAGAAAGAAGTGAGTATGGCATGCCATAAAGTTTGCACACAGAATTAAATCAGAACTAACATTGCAATTCAACTCCTAAAAAAGTGATGGTTATTCATGCATGTGTTGCATTGTACAGTTTGGGGTATATTATGATCTGGGTGTATAACCTTATGTTTTTGGGTGTTTAGGAGAAGAAGGTGACCTGACGGCTCAAGAACCTCAAGATTTGCGGCCCCTTCATATGTCTCATGGCCTGCATGAGTGTAAGGAGTGTGACCAGGTCTTTCCTGATGTCCAAAGGTTTGTAATTAGAAAAAAAAATCATTACATAACCTGATTTATTTTTTAAATACAGTACATATCTGAAAATTCTGGCATTAATCAAAATCTTCTGTAACTGTGACTTAATTGGTAATTAGAGACCACCTGTGTTTCATTGCCTTTTAAAAAAATGTTTGTTTTTTTGTTCGTTTACAACAGTCAGTAGTTGAATATGAAAAAAAAGAAAGCATCTGGTTTGATGAGACAGAAATTCTGCATTTTGGCTGTCATGTGACAGAACATTAACATTACAGTCTGAGCACACCAGCAATAGAGTAAAAACAGTTGCCATGTGAGGGCTTTTTTTAAGAGGGATGGAAGAGTTGGCCAATGTTGATTGGTGGATGGATATATCTTAATACCAAAAATATATTGAAATAAAGATTATTATCATTTTTTGATTGATCGATTGGGTTTTTCTTTTTTTTTTTAAGAAACTGTAATAAGTTTGGGATTAGGGTGTAGATTCACTCTTCAGCAGGAAAACAATCTTTAATGTACAGTCAGATCTTAATCATCGCCAATAATATAATTCTTTTATTAATCAATCAAAAAAATCTACCAAATTATAAATGGGGCTCTGGCATTGTTTTTCGTCACAGTCTGGAGAATCACAGCCAGTCTCACTCTGAGGAAAGAGAATACAAGTGTGATCAGTGTCCCAAGGCTTTCAACTGGAAATCAAACTTGATTCGACATCAGATGTCTCATGACAGTGGCAAGCATTACGAATGTGAGAACTGCTCAAAGGTAAAGTGATGGAAGGGACTGTTTGAGTCGCATCTCATTTCTACTCACTCATTTTCTTTTTTCAGCACACTTTGACCAAATCAGATGGTGACTCCCCTGTGTTTATTTTTGGTTGCTCCCCCAGCAGGTGTTCACAGACCCCAGTAACCTGCAGAGGCACATTCGTTCTCAGCACGTCGGGGCTCGGGCCCATGCCTGTTCTGACTGCGGCAAGACGTTTGCAACGTCTTCAGGCCTCAAGCAGCATAAGCACATTCACAGCAGTGTCAAGCCCTTCATGTGTAAGTCACTAAGACCCTACCTATGTAAGTCTCCTCAGTACATTATAACAATAACAACAATAACATGCTTGGACTTGACTTTAATACACAAAAAAATGATGATTGTTACAGAAATGCAATTGATCTTTTTGCAGCTACTTGTCACGTCGTTTACCCTGACATTTCTTGTACTATTTATGTCAAAACGAGGATTGTGCAGGGATTTTTTTCTCCCTGCCTCAGCACCCTCAAATTGTGCTTGTATAGTAATACAAGCCTGCCACTTTGTCACAGTGACCAAGTGTGATGTGCTGAAGACAGAGGGGTTAACAGCCCTTTTCTTTTCAGGAGTCCTGCTCACTTGAGCGTACACTTACATCCCCTCTTGTCAACTCCAGTCAGACCCAAACACATTTTGACCTTTCACACTTTCCCTACAACAAGAGATCTGATCTTCTCCTTCCCCTGAAGCCATATGATCTTTACCCTTTGCCCTTACAGCCTTTTTCTTTCTTTTCTTTAAGTTAAACACATGCAAACCTATACAAACCTGTCAAGGCACTTAATGCATGCTACCTTCCAGATCAACGCATATCATTATTCCCTTCTATTTCTATCTCACTTTCTCTCCTCTCCTGCCTTTACCGCATTCACCATTCCTCATAAATAGCAACCACATGTACGGCCCTGCGAATAGTCCATTTGCTATAATCAGCAGGAAATATGCAGGTTTGAAAACAACTAATGGCTCTGTAAAAAAAAAACAAAACAAAAAAACAGCAACTTGAAACGTGACGGCTGTCTGGACAAGATCATATGTGTGTCTGTAAGATGTTTGTTTGAGCAACCGCTCCTGAAGGACATGGATGTATTTTGGACAGAAGTTCTGTATGTTCCCATAGTTTTGTTTGTAGCTCAATGCACGCAACGTGTCAAGGAAGTTTGTGTCTTGACACTTTTCTGTACGACGGAAGCACTCAACTCACCATTACTCATCTCCCATTCTTCTTTTGTATGTGTTTATAACATTTGTTTTCAGTTTAATAATGGCTGATTACTGCAGTGGATCAGATCTCATGCTCTCTGTGTCATAGTTGTGAGTTTTGTGTCAATAAATGTCCAAATATTTAGGATTTATGGTCAACTGACTTTGGTTAAACTATAGGCCCTGTAGCTATGCTTGTAAAATACACGTTTTACAACTTCTCTAACTTCTCTACTGGATCTAAAGAAACCCGACTACCTCAGTGTCAATGTCTACTGCAAAGACTAAAGGCTAAATTCTGGATGCACAAAACTGTTTGCTTAGCTGGGATGCTTTTGTCACATAAGCTTTTGCATCTATACCTGTACTTCCAAGATCTGCAGACTCACTGCAGGTTTTAATTTTACAGAAATATGTGAACCACTAAATAAAAAAGTGGCTGTAGTGAGACACACAAAATCAGCTCATGATCAAAGGACAAAAAAATGTAAATGCTTGTGATGTGAAAAAAAAGTGTTAGGAATTGATGCTGCTCTCTTAAGTTTTTAGGTTTAATGCAGGGTATCTCTAACTTTTCACAATTTAAAGTGGTCATTTTTAAGAATGTAATTATTTAGGGGCATAAAATTTTATCTTAGCTCAGGATTTCACCTATTATGATTTCTTCTAGGCTTTTAATGTCAATCTGTTTCCCACGTATTGTTCTTCTTTTCCATCTGCCGCTCTTTAACATTGTGCCTGGAAGATATCCAAAGACATTCAAAAGTCCTAAATTATACTAACGTTTATGCCCACGTGAAGCAGTCAATCATACTTATATACCATATCTAACTTTTCTGTTTAAATCAATAATCAAATTCTCTTTTAAAGCTCTCTGGGGTAGCAAATCTATGAAATCTGTATTGCATGTGAGCACATAACAAGAAGGGACATTTAAATTGCATGAAAAACAATAATAATCTATTTTAACTCTGCCAGTATCATCTAAGGCTATAACATAAGTTCTCAGTATTAATAGCAATGACAGATTACATCAGGCATTGTTTGTTTTTCGGATCAGGTCTTGTCACTGTACATATTGGCCCAGACAGAGTGACACCCGGTCTCACTGCAACTGGCTGTGGGAAGGTCACTTAGCTCGGGATGACGTGGCCTCAGCCTTTGGGACAAGGTGAGGGGGCTGCAGGCTCGACTCAAGAGGCCCATAAGGGGAGAGAGAAGAGAGGCAGCAAAGGACGTGAGACCTGTCCCTGGGAACTGGACCGCAGGATAGGATTCATTCAACTCTACTTCCTTTACAAACTTAAAATAGAGCCATTGTGCTGCACGCGGCTGAGAAAGTGTGTATCTTTACGTCTACATGCCTCTGTGTGTTGGTCTGTGTGATTTCATTTCTTTGTGTTATGTGAATATTCTATGAATGCGCCTGCATGTCCATTTGAGCGTCTACATGTGATTGTTTATGGACTCTTTGGGAGCGTCCCTTGGAAGACAATGGGAGAGGGGATTCCTGGGAATCTGGTTGGATGTTCATGTGATGATGAGTGGCAGTGACTTCGTATGAAACTAAACAGATTCTTTCACAATGCCAGAATCTGGACACACCCTTTTCATTTTATTTCCTGGAAGTGGAATGGTACTGCTGGGAAAAAGATCTGAAACCACAAGAGGTGTTTCCTCTTCCCCAAATCTGGTCATTCTGATGCATATTAAGTACAAATATGATGTGTTCCACATTAGTGTGTTGGTCAGTGTGTGATGGACATTAATGCATTCTCCGTTTGTCTCTGTGTTCCTGCAGGTGAGGTATGCCACAAGTCCTATACCCAGTTTTCTAACCTTTGTCGGCACAAACGCATGCATGCTGACTGTCGCACGCAAATCAAATGCAAGGACTGCGGGCAAATGTTCAGCACCACCTCATCCCTCAACAAGCATCGGCGCTTCTGTGAAGGAAAGAATCATTTTACAGCAGGGGGGTTGTTTGCCCAGGGATTGCCACTCCCTGGCACCCCTGGCTTAGACAAATCAGCTCTTACACTCGGCCACAGCAGTGCTGGACTTGCTGATTACTTTGGAGCAAGCCGCCACCAGAGCGGGCTCACCTTCCCAGCAGCCCCAGCATTTCCTTTCAGCTTCCCTGGCCTGTTTCCTTCTGGACTATATCACCGGCCTCCGCTCATTCCTGCCACTTCCTCTCCTGTCAGACAGACAGCCCATGCACCTGTTTCAGGGCCTGGTGCAGAGCTAAGTAAAAGTCCTTTGCTTCCTCCAAGTCCTGGTGCTATTGAGTCTCAAGAGTTGCTGAAAGCTCTGCGCAAAAATGGCAGTTCACCTGGAAATGACTTGCAAGACTCAGAACTCCACAATCAGGGTTCTTTGGTGTCTTCAAAGCAGCAGAACAAGCAAAGTGATCAGTCTGAGAGCAGTGATGTGGATGATGTTAGCACACCAAGTGGAAGTGATCTAGAGAGCACAACAGGCTCTGAACTTGAAAGCGACATGGACAGTGAACGGGAGAGGGGAGCTGCTCGAGAAAATGGTAAAAGTTCCAGGAGAAAGGCTAGCGATAGAGGCCCTCAAAGCCCCAGCTTGATCGGTAGCAGTACTGCTAAAGACTTGCCAGGTCAAACCCTCATACAGTCTTCGCTAGATGAGCACACGGCTGTAACAGGGGCTGTAAATGACTCTATTAAAGCCATTGCTTCTATTGCTGAGAAGTATTTTGGCTCAGCTGGACTGGCTGGCTTGCAGGACAAGAAGGTTGGATCTCTGCCCTACCCCTCTATGTTTCCACTGCCTTTCTTCCCAGCTTTCTCTCCACCAGTTTACCCCTTGCCAGACAGGGACCTTAGACCAACAAGCGTGAAGGGAGAGCCACAGTCGCCAGGAGATGACTGCAAGAAGGCTCAAAGCAAGTCATCTGAATCACCGTTTGACCTCACAACGAAGCGAAAGGAGGGCAAGTTGCCCCTGTTTGTTCCCTCCAAATCTGAGGTCTCAAATGTTACTAGTCAAGACCAGCCACTCGATCTAAGCCTGGGTTCCAGGGGTCGAGGACGCATTCCAAGTCAGGAGGAGGCTAAAAAGAACAAAAGCTATGAAGAGGAGAAGAGAGCAGTTGAAGTTCCTAGAGCAGACGCTTCTTTACAGCATGCCCGTCCCACCCCGGTTTTTATGGACCCCATATACAGGTATTGTTATTCCCGGTGTCTGTATATGTTGCATTCTATAAATGTGAAGATGTCTACACTTGTATTTATAGCTGTGTAGTCAACACGAGCTGATAGAAATCTACTATTAGCAGGGTTGAGAAGAGGAGAATGAGTGATCCGTTTGAGACTCTGAAAGACAAGTACATGCGGCCAACTCCAGGCTTCCTTTTCCATCCACAAGTAAGTTTTAAAAATATGTTTTCAGGTGTATTTAATATAGTTTTTTTTTTTGATTTTTGTAATGATAGGAGTGCAGTTGAATTTCACTTAATTTCTGGGCCACTTTAGCCGCATTTTAAATCCAACGCTAGGTTTCTAGATGGGACAGCAATGTGGCACTGAATCTGCCTCAGAATATTACGATTATGTTCTATGAGGTTCTCCTATTCGCAATAGGTCGCCAAGGCTGGCCAAACAGGATTAATGAGGATAAGTATGCACCCCCAATTTTATACAAGCTACTGCCTGTTAAGCCCATTGTTGGCTATCTAAACCAGATGTGGCCACATTGAAAGGCCACATTGTGACACATCTTCCTGTAATGTGTCTTTGATTACGATATAAAAAATGATATGCTCTTAAAGCAATAATTTCTGCCCCTGGGTTTTCTGTGCCAACAGTGTGAGGTTCCTCAGAGGGCTTGCCTGTGTATGTACTCCTGTGTGTGTGTGGGTCTGTGTGTGTGTGTGACACGTCGCTTTCACGTTCATTTGATCAATCTTACCCTGCGGGTGAGAACAGTCCGTCGGAAAGTGAAAACACCACTTTCTCAGGCGTATGATTTTTTTTTTCTTCTCCCTCCCTTCTTTTCAGGCCGTTTCACGTCTGGTTTTTACAGGCTGTTTCATTTGTCTGATTTATGTCTGCTGTCCAGACTGCAGTATGAGCCCAGCCTGCAGCAGCCACATGGTTGTCCCACACGCCCTAATGAGGTGTCCTATCAGTAGAAACACTAACAGAGTGCTTAGGCCATCTTTATGACTTTATGATGTCTGGACACACAAATCATTCCCACAAATGCCAGGCTTGCATATGTCTAAGCCAGAGGTCCTTCGGTGGAGATTTTAGTAGGGGTTCAGTATCGGTCACCTGACTCACTTGTGAGCAACATGTTAAAATACGTTGTGCACTACTTAGGCGACTGGGCATATTTTTCAGAACCTTTAGTGATTCATCTCATTATTTCCTGGCTGGAAATTTTACTGCAAGCCAATACTCGGTTAGATTATATTCTTGAGTTGGAAGTGTTGGCTCCCATAATGAGCTTATTGTGCACCAGGACGTGTTGGAAACTATTAGTCTCCAGTAAAGTCTCTACCATAACACAAGAGACAGACACTTCATTGCTCACTCAAAGTTAATTGCACCAAGATTCCTCCTTTCCTCCTGAAGCAATATGTGTTCATTCATCCACAGCTTTTTGGTTCTGACTGCTCTCTCTTTTCCCTCTCTTCCGCCCCTCAGTTTCGTTTGCCAGATCAGAGAACTTGGGTAAGTTCCTCTTTGACCTGCAGCACTGTTCCTGTACTAGTCAGACCCTGAACCATAACTCATGCATGGGCTGCAGACCAGTTTAAACCACGGAGCACTCGCATGGCTTCAACCTGTCATCTACAAGCAGACTATTACCTGACATCTCATTGTGATTTAAATTTGCATATTTAATTTTTCCTGATATTATAAGTATAGTGCCTTGCAAAAGTATTCATTATCCCTGAACATTTTTACATTTAGTGAGTTTTTAACCACAAATGTTTCTATTCTGTTATCAGGATGAGATGAGAAAGATTAACACAAAGCATAGAATTAAAATAATATATTAAGCTATACTGTAGTACATTCAACCCTCTCTACTCTAATACCCCCAAGTTAAATCTTCAGCAGACAGTTACCTTCAGAGGATATCAAATTGAAAAGATATATAAATATATCTATAAAAGGGGAGGGAAATTATTTGGTCCACGTGGAAAACAGAAAGAGTGGCAGAAAACACTGTCCTCACGATGAAATATACTGTACCATATGCACAATCATGCCACAGGGAGGATTTTATTAAGCAGAGACAAGGAAGCTGGTCAGCGCTGCAGCAAAATGCTGGTTTGGTCCTCACTTGGGCGGTCGATAAAGATTGTAAGCCAAAATTTATTTTCTCATCACTCAATAATCATGCTTTACTTTGTATCACTCAACCAGATATAGGGTATCAGGGGCTTTTGCAAGGCACAACAGAGTCGCATTATTTATTTTTGCTGATTCCATTTACTCCCTACTCTAATTAACATGCAACACAAAATAAGGTAATTTGCAACTGAGCTACAACCTGTCCATCTGACAGCTCTTAGTGTGTGTTTGCTTAGTCGTTGAATGAAGTGGGATGTCTTTCTTATGGGAGCAATAAATGCAGGGTCTGTGTTTGTGTGTATGTTGGGTGGTGTTGTTGGGGCAGTTCTTTGCTGCATCAGAGAACGGGTAACAGTCGCTCAGGGAACCAGAAGAGGTTATGCCCTCCCTCCAAACATCTGGTCGCCGATAAAGATCAACAATTGAGAATGCATCTCGCTAATTAAGGCCCTAACAGCATCACTGACATCTGAAGATAGCCAATCAAGTGCTAGTCCCAGAGTGACGCTATAGCAACAAGCAACTTCACAGACACATTCACACTACCCCCCCCCCCGGGGGAAAGACAGGGAGTTTCAGGAGGTGTGTGTTTGTGTGTATCAAAGCAGTCGGAGAGTGTGGGTGGGTCTCCTGTACTGAGCTCAAGGTGGTCAGACAGCGCCATTATGAACCAAACTTAAAAGTGTACAGATTTCATTAAGTTTCATTAAACTAGTTCTTTGCAAGCAAAAAAACAAAAATACAAAGTAGAACAATAATAATCATGTTTATTTGGAAACAAAGACTCTTCCCTTTAACAATCCTTGTATCCAAAAATGGATATTTGTTTTGCTGCAATCTCTATACTTCAATCTGAAGCCAATAAAGCCATTTTATGAAAAGTCTTATCATGTAAACATGATCGCGTCGACAGCTATAAGGGCTCCAATCTTCTCAAGATTAATAGATTCTCATTGAGGAGCGCGGACAAACTGAACATTCCAGATGTATTTTCAGAAGAGATTTGAAAGCATTTAATCTCCCTCGAGCTTGCTATAGCTTCCTCTTAGTCCAGCTTTGGATCATGGCATGTAATGCTGGCATATTCATAACCAAACAGTCCTGACACTCCATATCCTCCCTCTGTGGGTCCGTCGGCGGCTGCGGCAGGAACTTTACACTCAGCCGTCACTCCTAATCACTTGCTCCCTGCTCTGAACTACGGCGCCATCCATCAACCATCAGTTCCTCTTTCTTTCAGATCCCTCTATGCTTCGTTTGCATGTTCTTTACTCTTCCTCTTCATTCATCCTGTTTCATTCCCCCCTTTTTTTCTCCTGAAATCATCAAGTCCTCCATCATATTCTTCTCCAGTTTTCATCCTCTTTTTTTTCTTCTCCCTCTGCCTTGTCTTTGTTGGCGAGAAGCCCGAAAGTGACAGGGGGTAAAAGTGGGAGATGGAATGTCAGAGTCGGAGCAGGGCTCCGGCGGAGGACCCGAATCAACACTGATTTGTCTCCTTATTGAAATAAGAAAAAGAAACAGACTGAAAATTCAACACACGTAAAATAATGCAAATTTGTGTGGCCCCTTTAAAAGAAGCAGAAAAGAAAAAAAACATGAGCGCCTGTGTGTTAGAGTGTGCGTGTCTGCAATGGTCTGACAGGCCCTGCGGCCTACTGAGACCCTCGCCCCTCACTCCCCCCTTCACCCCCTCCTCTCCTCCTCCTCCACATCCCACCCCTCTCAGCACAGCGATATCATTATTACCCGTGTCTGGCCCTTGATCAGTAATGTCAACATCTTTCATATTGACGAATGTGCTGTCTGCCCGCATTGTGCACAGAATGGTTTACAGCCCAGCAGTGGACATGAATCACTCCTCTGCCACACACGCGTTCAAAGCACACACACGCATACGGACAAAAAGCCTCACCTGAAAACACGTAGATACGCTCTGAGCTGGTCCAGTCCCCCTCATATTTGGACAATGCACATGCTTTTTACTTGCGTACACAGATGGACGTAAAAAAAAAAAACCTTACTGTCTTCTCTCCCTCATGTAAGTGTAGTTTCTGTTTTGCAAACGTTGAAGGCAGTTAATCAACTCAGACCACCAGAGTTTTTTTTAAGTTTTTTTTTTTTTTGCTCATGAGCGCCCACGCAACACGCATTTCCTTCGAGAGTTCTGATGAAAGTAAATGTTCATTTTCATTAGTAGATTGGCTGTAGACTTTACTCCCCAGTGTGTCTGTGTGTGTGTGAGTTGCATGCATGCTTTATGATTTATGATTATTTCTTGGCTGTATTAAACTTTTAGATTTGCACAGCTGGTTGCTGCTGATCATAAATGAGAATATGACATGTTTTCCTCTGTGTGTGTGTGTGTGTGTGTTGCAAAAAAGTTATGAATCAGTGTTAGATCAAGTTGTCATGCCCCATATCAGCTGTTTCACCTTGTGATGCATGAATCATTGATGAATGTCATGATAGAAATTCACCTAATACCGGTTTCACTATTTCCCCAACTTGTATGACACCCCTGCAATCAACACACACCTGTCAGATTTGATGTAATCAAACAGGCTACCAATAGTTACTTGGAAACATTAAGTTATATTAAAAGAGACTCTGTAATAGCTTATTTGCCTGTGTTGCATATGAAGAATTACCTGGCAGATGGAAAAAATCCCTGATGTTATATATAAGGTATCATTTGCATTCAGGGTAGCATTGATGTATATTTGGCTGCTGCAATTTACCTCTAATGTTCTGTTGAATTCCGAAAATTACACTAAAAATTAGTTTAAAAAAAACATAGAATCTTCTGAATTGATGAGTAGGTTTCATGTTGATAACAAATGCTGACGCCCAAACTGTATATTAAATATTGTTGAAGTTTGAAGACTGGGAAGCTTTCAGGTCTTAACGCTATCCTATCCTCTGTCCTTGCAGATGACGGCCATTGAGAGCATGGCAGAGAAGCTGGAGACATTTGGTTCCTTGAAGCAAGAGTCTGGAGAACTGCTGCGTTCTGTCCCGTCAATGTTCGACTTCAGAGCTCCACCGTCCACACTTCCAGAAACACTACTGCGCAAGGGCAAGGAGCGCTACACCTGCAGGTAAATGGTCTGATAAGAACCGTTGGATTATTACTTCCTCCATAAATTCACACTTACTTTTGAAAAATGCTTCTTAAGATTATAAATGTGAAGGAGATGCACTGCGTGTGACTTGAGAAAATTAAAGTGATGGTTTGTTCTGTAGATACTGTGGAAAAATATTCCCTCGCTCTGCCAACCTGACTCGCCACCTCAGGACTCATACAGGAGAGCAACCATACAGGTAATTTTATCTCTTTGGTTCTACAAACTTTCTCCTAGAGGTTGTTTTTAGAAGGTTGTTTAACCAGGCACCTGCTTAGGATTGCCACATTGACGTTTCTGAAAAAGTAGAGGAATTGTACAAAAAATAAGATAATCATAGCTTTAGTCTTCTGTTAAAAGGAGCAAGTTATCCCTGGTGTGTTTAAAAAAATACATTATGTGACTCACATATATGGTTTTGCAGTCAATAAAAACTGCTCACTGCCCTTTGCAACCTTGATCTGTCTCTGCATATAGCGTCTTGCAGTCATTCCCACACTTTCTAAATTCCTGTCATATTACAACCACTAGCTCAAGGGCGGATTTAGGGAATTTGGGGCCCTAGGCAAAGACATGCATAGGGCCCTCTGAATTGAAAAGACAGCACATAAAAAAGAACCATTATACAGATACATAATTTTATCTTAAATTTTATTATTTATAAATAAGCACTCAAAAAAAAGTGCTATAAGGATCTGAAAAGTTGCTAAATAAAGTGACAAAAGCACATAGGGCACAGCTGGCAGCACTACTCTTGGCACCGTTTGTTTTCAAATGCTCAACTGCTGACTGGACCTTTCTGCAGCAAATCGACTGGTCCAATGTTGTGGATACTAAGGGGTTGTTGGGGGAGGACACTTACTATTACAAGCATTCTGATGGCATTTTAGAGAAAGGACATAATTAATGTTCACAAATGAGTAATACCTGAATTAACCATACATGTAAAAGGAGATTTATGGGGCCCCCACGAACTTGGGGCCCTAGGCAGCTACCTAGTTTTGCCTAATGGTAAATCCGCCCCTTCACAAGCTTCAGTGTATTTTATTGTATTTTTGTGACAGAGAAGCACAAACTGAAGTAGATGGAAGTTAGTAAGATGTTTAGTTTTTCTTCTTTATAAATACATATGCTGCCTGTTTTTTATTCATCCTTTTTTAATCAATAACCCTAAAGAAACCTTAATGCAATAAAGTCACCTTTAGAAGTCACCTATACCTGCATGTAATTTCACCTTAGACTTTTGGGGGGAAGTAGTGGACAAATAGCTTAATGAAGACCAACGAACACAGCAGACAGGTCAGGGTGAAGCTTGTCCAAAGGTTTGAAGTTAAGACCTTCATCTAACTGAAAATATGTGGCAAGACTCAGAAGTTGTTTAGCTATAGTCTCATTCATGAGGTCGGGTTTATTTAGGATTACGAGGGTAAAAGTGACTGCTTAAAACATCGAAATATTCTTAATGTTAAAAAACAAAAAACTCTTTTTTGTCTTAATGGTAGGCACTACTTTTTCTTTGTTTATAACACAAAATCCCTCTAATTCCCACTGAAATTTGTGGTTAATGCAATCATATGAGCAAAGGTTACAGCGAACATATAGGCTGTAAATCTTTAGTGTTAGATGTTATCTCTACATGACATGTTCCTCTTTAAGTTCGTTCTGCCAGCATCTTTTCATCTGTCTTCATCTGTCCTTCCACACTTTATCAAACAAAAGAAGCTCGGATTTGCACAATAACACTTTAACTAAGATCTGCAACAGAGCATCAAATCTTTCCTCCGCTGCAGGAGAAAGCATCAAGTGCAGCCTGAACAATAAATAAAAGGAAAACAGCTCATTTGTTAGCAGCAGGCAGACGTTTTCCCAGGGATTACCAGACCACAGTTTGAACAGAGTTTATGTGTGTTTTCCTATGCCATAAGCTTGGAATAATTATCCTACTGCTAAATAATTTACCCGATGAAAAATGGTGACCGTCGCCTCGGTGACAGGAGGCAGAGGAGGGGCTGAGGAGTACTCTACTAAAAATTTGGGAGATGAGAAGCAGGGGGGGCAGATGTCCAGATCTAGCAGCTGCGGCCATTTCTTTTGCAGTTTTGGGAACAAACTCAAAGTGGATTCCATATTTTTTGTTGTATTTTTGTCTTCTTTAAGATTGATTCTAAATTAAACGCTTTTGCCATTTAGTTTTGATTTTAGAGACGTTTTTACTCAAATTTCTATTCAGTTTTTCTTTTATTGAGAAACAAGATAGATTTAGCAAATTACTTGCATTAGGATAACGGCTGCACCCTCAAGTTATCCGGCTTTGTAGTTACCAAGATGGAGGAATGTTGGCCCAAAGTTCGGAGGAGGCTCTTTGACCACAGGGGCCAGAATAAGACAGATGCAGACCTTTCCTGACCCAGTCTTATAGCTCACAACTCTACATGCTGGCACGCCATTAAAAAGATCACTGCCGTTTATTGTTCTTTTTTTTCTATTGCGGAGATAACCAGGAGGGTTCCCGAGGGACAGCCAAACGAGCAAGCTAATTCCACCAGCAGAAAAGATGTAATCTTCTCGTATAATTTTGCATGAAGAAACTTGGCAGGAGCCCCTAATTTTGTAGGTCTTGAACTAAATCTGTTGCGTGCGTATTTTGTGGGAGAAAAATGCAGCTTTATTGCGCTGGCTGGAGATAAGAGAGCAGAGCTGTTTCACCTTAAACAAGCCCCTCCATCATGTGTGGGGGGCTAAAAGTCTGAGCACGTTCATGTAGCTGTGTCTGGCACAAACAAACTTCAACATCATCCGGCAATAGAGTTTTACTTCTTAACATTTGCTCTTGTTTCTGTTTATGTTGCTGAACAATTTTAACCGGCCCATTTTTACAGGTGTAAATACTGTGACCGCTCCTTCAGCATCTCCTCCAACCTCCAACGGCACATTCGCAACATTCACAACAAGGAGAAACCCTTCAAGTGCCACTTGTGTGACCGCTGCTTTGGCCAGCAGACCAACCTAGACCGCCACCTCAAAAAACATGAAAATGGGCATTTGTCAGGTGAGCGTCAAGATGTTGAGACATTAACACAAAAATCTTCTTTCACCCTTCCTTTTTAAATTTTTTTTATTTTATAAAGGAAATCTGGTTTGTTTAATTTAAAAGCTCATACATCAATCTGTAGAAAGTATAAAATTACATTTCATCTTGATTTGAAGGAATCTAGACACTGACAAATTAAGCCGTATAAATCTGCCATCACCCCCCTATGTAAACTGCCGCAGGATGTACTTTTTTTTCCTTTTTTTTTTTTTTTTTTGAATGAGTTGCTTTCATCAGCATATCACAGCTCGCAAGTTTGATAGCTGGCATCACTCTGAATCAGCAAAACAAGTGGTGACAACTGGCCAGAAGCCAGCACCAGCAGAGGAGGCGGCCACTTAATCACTCCTAATGTGCAATCTATCAAACACAAATTGAATTATTAGCTAAGCTATTTCATTTTAGCATCACTCAAAACATTTTCAAACTGGAGAAAGTAAAGAATATTTGGCATAAAAGTTGTGAAGAATAAAAAGACATTTCTTTATCCTTGCAGAGTCCCTTGTAAGCGTTACAACTGATGTTTAACATTTAACATTGATGCTTTTTGATCCCTGTAACGTCCTGACCAGCAGACATGATGTGGTAGATGACGGTAAAGGAGCAGATCATATTTCACAGTCAGAGTGGAGTAAAAAATAAAGAGGCATGCGGCGCCTCACAAAAGTATTTAAAGGTTGAAGAGTTTCCCCGTTTTCATGTTTCAGCCACACACTGCGATGCATTTACTGCGACTTTATGCAGTCATGATCAACCAATTTATTTTGATTCCCAGAATCCAGTAAAACTAATCACTCTCAGAGCACCCAGTTTAATCAGTCCATCAGGGTTTAAAGTTTTCTCACTATGAATGCAGCTGTTCTGTGGGAGCCTGAAAGGTTTGTTATAGAGAACACAAACAGCTTCAGGAAAACCAAGAAACACAGACAACAGGTCAGGGAAAAGGCTGAAGCGAATTTTAAAGCAAAGTTATAAAGCAAGAAACTTGCAGAGCATTGTTGATGCTATGGATATTCCATCATCCTCTTATAAAAAAGATGGCAAACTGCAAGATAATATAAATTGCAAAGAGGACAATGTTAAGGAGCTACACAAACCCTACACTGTTACTTAGACAGGTTAGTGGTTTTTGTCCCAAACCATGTCAGGGAGCCTTTCTAGCCCACATGCAAAATTGTATATATTGGGTGTGAAAGTAGCACCATACAGGTGCTGGTCATAAAATTAGAATATCATGAAAAAGTAGATTGATTTCAGTAATTCCATTTAAAAAGTGAAACTTGTATATTATATTCATACATTACATACAAACTCATATATTTCAGATGTTTATTTTGTTTAATTTTGATGATTACAAATGACAACAAATGAAAATCTCAAATTCATCATATCAGAAAATTAGAATATTACTGAAGACCAATAAAAACAAAGGATTTATAGAAATGTTGGCCAACTGAAAAGTATGAACATGAAAAGTATGAGCATGTACAGCACTCAGTATTTAGTTGGGCCTCCTTTGGCCTGTATTACTGCAGCAATGCGGCTTGGCATGGAGTCGATCAGTCTGTGGCACTGCTCAGGTGTTATGATAGCCCAGGTTGCTCTAATAGTGGCTTTTAGCTCTTCTGAATTGTTGGGTCTGGTGTATTGCATCTTCTTCTTCACAATACCCCATAGATTTTCTATGGGGTTAAGGTCAGGAGAGTTTGCTGGCCAATTAAGAACAGGGATACCATGGTCCTTCAACCAGGTACTGGTAGCTTTGGCACTGTGTGCAGGTGCCAAGTCCTGTTGGAAAATGAAATCTGCATCTCCAAAAAGTTGGTCAGCTGCAGGAAGCATGAAGTGCTCTAAAACTTCCTGGTATGTGGCTGCGTTGACCCTGGACCTCAGAAAACACAATGGACCAACACCAGCAGATGACATGGCACCCCAAACCATCACTGACTGTGGAAACTTTACACTGGACTTCAAGCAACGTGGATGAAGTGCCTCTCTTCTTTTCCTCCAGACTCTGGGACCTTGATTTCCAAAGGAAATGCAAAATTTACTTTCATCAGAGAACATGACTTTGGACCACTCACCAGCAGTCCAGTCCTGTTTCTCTTTAGACGCTTCTGACGCTGTCTGTGGTTCAAGAGTGGTTTGACACAAGGAATGCGACAGCAGAAACCCATGTCTTTCATACGTCTGTGTGTGGTGGTTCTTGAAGCACTCACTCCAGCTGCAGTCCACTCTTTGTGAATCTCCCCCACATTTTTGAAGGGGTTTTGTTTCACAATCCTCTCCAGGGTGCGGTTATCTCTCTTGCTTGTACACTTTTTTCGACCACATCTTTTCCTTCCCTTCGCCTCTCTATTAATGTGCTTGGACACTGAGCTCTGTGAACAGCCAGCCTCTTTAGCGATGACCTTTTGTGTCTTGCCCTCCTTGTGCAAGGTGTCGATGGTCGTCTTTTGGACAACTGTCAAGTCAGCAGTCTTCCCCATGATTGTGTAGCCTATAGAACTAGACTGAAAGACCATTTAAAGGCTTTTGCAGGTGGTTTGAGTTAATTAGCTGATTAGAGTGTGGCACCAGGGGCCATCAATTTTGAACCTTTTCACAATATTCTAATTTTCTGATATGATGAATTTGAGATTTTCATTTGTTGTCATTTGTAATCATCAAAATTAAACAAAATAAACATCTGAAATATATGAGTTTGTATGTAATGTATGAATATAATATACAAGTTTCACTTTTTAAATGGAATTACTGAAATCAATCTACTTTTTCATGATATTCTAATTTTATGACCAGCACCTGTACATTGCCCTAAATTAGGGGATCCTTTTTTTAGCAGTAACAAGAAAGATGGTAGGGGTTAATTTGAAGATGGATGGAACAATTCTGAGCAATCAAGGCAGGAAAACAAATAAAGAGCGAGGAAGGAGGAGAGTTCTTTCAACAAAGCTTCAGCTTGCTTCTTTATCTTTTCCTGCAGGAACTGCAATGTCGTCCCCACAGTCTGAGTTGGACAGCGGCAGTGCCATACTTGATGACAAAGAGGATTCGTATTTTAATGAAATAAGAAATTTCATTAGCAGCACAAATCAGAATCAGACATCACCGGACCCCTCTGAGGAAGGGTAAGCATACCTTGGTGTTGTTTTTTTTTTCAGAATCAGATTTATTGCCAAGTAGGTTTGCACTTAGAAGGAACTTGACTTGGAGTTGATGGTGCAGATAAATTGGATATATACAGAATACAGAATCTATAGCTATATACGGTATAAAACATACAATATGCTGTATACAATATATAGTATATAGCTATATACTATCAACACAGTAGACGTATGGTAATGTAACGCATGAGGTTTTTCTAGATCACTGTTGCCCTTTTTTTTTCAAGTGTACCACTGAAGTAGCTTTAACATGTGACATTTGACTCTTTTCCGTGTACAAAGACTTGCAATGCTTTTATTCATAGCCAGACTCTGTTAAGAAGCCACACCACACTCAAAACTCTCAATGAAAAACCAATCATCCTTGATAATAAATTCCTAGATTTTTCAAATCCTGCAGTCTTTTACTACTAGCCATTAGGCTCACAGCCAGGAAAAGATAACTTTTGACATGCTGCAATGTCTGAACGTTATGCAAATCGGATCTTGTTGAAGTAATTAGATCAGAAAGCAGTTAAGAGGGCCACATAGGTCACTCTGTTTGTTTTCACATGCCTCACGTTGGTGGGATCACAGATCAGAGATGGTGGATAAGGACAGACCGGGTGGTAGAGCAGGAGAAGAATAGAGAGGTAGTGGTGATTGTGAGGTAGTCGGTGAGGGGGGGATTGCAGCAGTAAGACTGCCACATCTGGAACCAACATGTCTGCCTACAGGAAGAGTATAGATGGGGGTGGGGTCAAAGGGTCGGCCTGTGTTTCCTTTCAAACTGCAGCGCTTCTGACTGCTCCTGATAGATACTTTATCCTCAGCAAATTACCACGTTTGAAAGCGTAATTAGCGAATCTGTTTTCTTAATCACAGAGTTCTTGCTCTCCCTTTAGGAGTTAGCTCCTTTTTTGCAGCTGTACAAGCATGAGACAGCACGAATGCCCTCTTGCAAGGGCACTGTTCTTGCAAGACCTGCATTGAAAAAAAATAGGTTTCCTAAGATTAGTCCAGCCTTTTTAATTTGGGATATTACATTCTTTTTCTTTCAAATATATTGCAGGTATCCTGTTTTTTCTCTAGTGTTGTTACTGATGCTAATGCAGTTACTTCATTCTTCTTCTCATTGTTCACTTTTCAGCTTGTTCTCTGAAGCCTTTGTGCAAAGAAATGGCATTTTTGCAAGCTGACGAAAGATGTCCCAGAGTGTAATTAGTGAATCAGTCTTAATGTGGTTCCAGATGATTTGCCAAATGGTGGTTTCCTGTGGTGCTGAGACAGAGGGACAGATTAAGACTCCAGCAGTTTGGATAGCTGGCCCCCTCTCCCTCTTCGGGGATAGGGGAGTAGGCTGGTTGGCAGCTCTTTCATAACTCTCCCAGCAAATGGGGCTGTCAGCTAAATATTTGGCCTATTAGATGAATACGAGATAGTAGAGAAAATAAACAAAGAGAGAAGCAGAGCACTCCGTTTAAGTGCCGCGGTGATCAGTCCAATGCTGCTGTGCCCAAAGGGGCCCCAAAACCTTGATGACAAACTGGATTCCAGCTCTGCTTGGCTGCAGATCCTCCACTTCTTACTTTGTTTAGCTAGTAACTTCAACAGTTTATGATTTGAGCTATAAGGATGTTCTTCACAATGAAAGACACACAACTGCACGCTCAAAGCTTTCTCTAGTTCTTTTTATTTGTAAAATAAATATCTAACTATAGAGAGGAGATTTGTATTAATAGTTCTGTTAACGGTCATGATCCACAGGCTAAATGGAGGCCTCTTAGAGGAGGGGAAATCGCTAATGCCCAGCCATGGGCCACGTGACCTGGAGGATGAAGAAGCAGAAGATTTGGATGCTGAGGAGGATGAAGCAGAGGAGCCGATTAACACTCCTGAGAAAAGGGATTTCAAGGTGCATCCTGGCAGCCTTGGAGATGATGAAATGGATTTCAATGAGTCCAACGAACTAAACCTCAGCTCTAAAACCTCTCCAAGGAGGTAAATGTCAATTGTACAAACTTCTAAATGATTCATCTATATCAACTATATCTTAAAAACCCTGCATCATTTAAAGGCCTAACTTTAACAGATTTTACTACAACATCCAGGTTGAATTAATAAAATGCCGACTAATTTTAGTGACTAACTGAATGAACTTTAGTTTCTGTTGCAGCTTTTTTTTATGTTATGTTTAGCATTATTTGCTGTGACAATAAAGGCTTTCTATTCTACTCTATTTCCATAACTTCCAGGTTTACGCATGAGGAAGAGCAGAACAGCTTATCAGCTTTGGAACACATTCATCGTTTCTCTGACCTGCATAAAATGGAGGAGAGTGAGCCTAGTGATGGAGATGAGGACGATGGATCCTTTGGTTCTCCTTCACTTGCAGATGCAGTCAAACAGCCACTCTTTAGGAAATCAAAGTCTCAGGTATGAAGAATTTTTACAGTTCTCCAGCATTTTTTATCCTACTTGGCACCTGTGGTAGATATATATATATATATATATATATATATATATATATATATATATATATATATATATATATATATATATATATATATATATATATATATATATATATATATGTGTGTATCTGTATCAAACAGAAATCGAACATCAGCTTTTATTATCATTCACAAATAAAACACTTCACAGCTCTGTATAACACCATAAACAGCCTACTTCGTATAAGTGCCACAGTGACTATCCCAATTTTACGACATAGGCAAACATTGTTTAATCTCCTTCTATGCTAAGCACACATGGGTTTATACTTATGAAGATTCACTCACCTTTGCATGCTAAATGGTTGGAGCAGCTCCAACTAACATTAGCCTGACATACTGTGGTTATGCCAGCTAATAACTGACATGTAGACAGCCTTAAAAACTCAAATCTTTCAGATGTTAGTTTAGCCCTTAATATCAGGGGATAAAACATGAGAAAGTGAGGTTGCAGCTAAAGTGATGTATCCTGTTCTTTGAATTTTAGGGTTACCAAGTCTACATAACAACAATTTACCTTAAAAATTTTTAAAATATATAATTCTAACAAGGGTGCAATGATGTGTGTACAGTTTTGTTTGACTACCTTCATACTTTCCCCAGAAATGTAAACCCTCTACTGTTTCCTGTTCCCTTAGGCGTATGCCATGATGTTGTCTCTGGCTGAAAAGGACTCTCTCCACTCCACCCCCCACACTCCGGCCACCATGTGGCACAGTCTGGCAAGGGCTGCTGCTGAATCCAGTGCCATCCAGTCACTTAGCCACGTATGATGACGTCCATCACCATTGCATTCCACAACCCCTGACCTCCTTGTGGCATCGGAGTCCGCCACAGAGGCTTTCAGCGGGTCCCTGACCCTCCACAGAGTGACTGCTGAGCAGAACCACGGCCCATTTGACTGCCTTAAACACAGAGCAGGGTCCCTGTCCACTCAAAACCCTATGGCAGACAAGATGAACTAAAACGATTTTTCACATTAACACCAACTAAGTTGCGGTTAAAAAAATTGACGCTAAAATAGAAAGAGCTGTATTTATTCTTCCAAGTTTCTCTGTTGTGCACAGCTAAGGCAGCTGCTGCAGACGAGTAATATAAATGTGCTGTTTGGTCAATGTTGGAGCACATTTAAGGCAAGGGGAACCCTCTCGACCATCGGTTTCGACGTCGCTTGATCTGTTGCTTGTAAGGCATAGAAGCGACACCACAAATCCCCCACAGAGAACCACAGATCTTCAACTCTTCAGTTGAAAGCTGCTCCTTGAAGGTCAGCGCTTGAACATTGCTGAATATCTACAAGAAATCCATGAAAATGAGTTTAACTGAAATGAGGCCAGTGTCCCGTTTGTGTGTTCATGAATGCGTGTGTCTGTACAATCACAGCACTGTATACAAGTTTCAAGCAGCACTCCATCTTGTCCACCTGCGCTATATGTGAACAGATATAAATAGATAGTCTTTTTAGTGTAAGAGAAAACTATTTTTTTTTCTCCATTGGTTTTGTTATTCTCTGAGATAAGTAGCCTGTGCTGACGATTATTGTCATTCTGTAAAGGGCAAATATCTTTTTTCAAAATTTTTTGAAATCATCCTAGCCGATCAACAATACCACTAAATAGCCTGAATGCTAGTTTTTAGCAAATCCATTCTGATGTGTCTTTCATTTTTAGACAATCATTTGTTCTTTTTTTTTTATTTGGTTGGTGTTGTCGTTATTTGCTGTTGTGCTTTTGAGAATTGTATTTATTTCTTGGCAAACTGTAGTTTGTTTACTGAATAGCACTGCTCCTAGCCCAGGCGAAAGAGGGAGATTCCCACGGCGGGCTAATCCCGAACCTCAGTCAGAGGGTTTGTAGAATATGTTTGATTGCCGGATAGTATTAAACATGCAGTCCATTCTTTATTCTACTAATTAAACCAGTCAATGAATAGATTTCGTTTAGTTTTTTTTTTTTTTTATGATTCAATTGTAAAAAAAAAAAAAAAAAAAGAAGAAAAAAAAAGTGCAAATCATCAGTGGTTTTATGGACGAACAATGAAAATAAGTCAGGTTTAATTTGATCCGAAGCGCATGGTTGGTCTGTAAAGATCTATATATGACATTTTCTATGATTGTCTGCAAAGCTTGTATGATGTTCGGTTCATGTTAATCCCTTGTGCCAAACTTATGACACATAACAGAATACTTTTGTTAATTTTCCCGTTTTGAGGGACCAGACTTCCTGTTTGTTTTTGTGATTTTGTTTGTTTATAATCGATTTTAAAAATTAATCAGCAAGTTGAGGTACTTTGTTTTAATGCTTTCTACAATGTAACTGTTATGCATTTCAATTCAATACTGTGGGAGGAACAACTAAGAAAATAAAAGAACACAATGTGGATTGACTTATTCTCTTTTCTGTGCTTTTGTCATCGTCTGACGACTCCCCGCTTGATATTTCCCTCCTGGCTGCCCATCATTTTGGGCAACACTGAAGGCATGAGTCAGACCGCCACCTGGCTTTTTCTCCTGGCGCTCCCATGGCCCCCAGGAGTGAGCGAGAGCCTGAACTCTGCTCCTCTTTCTTCTCCTTTTGGCCTTGGCTCACATTTAGAGAGGGAAGCGGAGAAAAGCGGCAGAGGGCTTGAATGCGGTAGTGAGAGCGGAGGCAGGAATGCCTCCTCTTTATTTGTGTCCATTTGTAGGGCATGATGGATGAGGTGGGTAGATGAGATGACCTGGCTCATCGCTCAAACACTCAATAAGAGTCCCATCCTGCAGCAGGCCTCCCCATCCGGCCACCCACCCCTCAACCCCCTCTTTGTCGCCGCTGCCAGCCAACGTAGGCGGACATTGTGGCTGCGAGGGTTGGAGGTTTAGGCGACCCATTGTCCAACAAATCGCTCAACTTGGGGGTGGGGAGAAGAAATTGGGCATAGAGTGACGATGCTCGGTGCTGACGCTCCACATTTACAGTGCTCTTGGCACCTTAATGGATGAGTTGTTTTCTTCAAGCCTTAAGGGCTCTACTGGGCGTCTGGCTTTGATGAGGTCACAGAGGGTCAGGCGGTGTTGATGAGGTCAGTTTGGGTCGTCCAGCTTTGATGAGGTTAGCTTCATTATTGGTGGTGATTCCGAAAGCCATGGTCATAATGAAGTGGTGAGGATACTGCCTTTGACCATGTGTTTTACCACCTGTGGACCAATTCTGTTTAACAATTCTTTTGTCCATTTGCTTATATTTACATACAATACCTTGCAAAAAATATTTGTGCTCTTTGAACTTGCTCCACAATAGTCATATTATTACCAAAAACATCAACGCAATTCATTTGGATTTTATATAATGGACCAATGCAAAGCAGACTTTTAGTGTAGAAATGAAAATAAGAGTTCTGCAAAGAAGAGTTGAAACAAAACTCCTCCTTTAGCGATGTGAACGTTTTATTGCCAGTTATCATTGATGGTTGAAGGTACCAAGAATGGCAAGAACCAGCGGTTAGGGTTAGAGGGAACTATTCTTTAGCACTCGTTTTGGATTTATTTTTGTTGATGAATGTAACATAAAAAAAAAAACAACTCTGTTTTTTGGTTTACTTATTTTTTTTTTTTTTTTTTGTATATTATAAAAAGAGAAGCAAAACATAGAATCCGAAAGCAAGCAGCAGTTCATCCCTGGGGATTTTAAAGGTAAACCTTTGGCCTATTCACAAGGCTGCCAAAATGGCCTTACATTTAGCTCCATATATTTCCCTTACGCCGGTCCTTCCTGTTCCTGCGGAAGAAGAGTATCCCTGCAGTTTGCGGTTATCACCATAATTCATCGAATATTTTTGTAAGAGCCAAAAAGGTCTGACACTTCCTTACATTTGTGTGCTGTGTCCACTAAATGACTTTTCACAAACTGTAAATGTGAACTATAAACTTCCTCTGGCTTTCTGTTGACAATGGCTTTCTTTTTGCAATTGTTTCAATCAAAAATAGAGCTGTGGAAAAAACGACTGCTAGTTGCGTTATTAAGTTTCCCTCTTAAACTGTGGATCACTGCAGCTTGTTGAAATTAATTATGGGCATATCAACTACTTCTCTGATTAATGCTCTTATTTAGATGGACAGCCATGTCAGGGTAGGTCTGCTTTTATGAGTTGATTTAGGGCTTGAGCATAAATATTTTAAATAACCCTACTTTAAACTTTTCCACAACTTTCCTCTCCAACATTTTGCTGCATTTTTGGTTCATAAATGTTCTCAGATACCTCTGAGCTACTCGCAGAACAGCTGGAATTATCCTTAATTCAGATTAAATAAAGGTATAGTGGAATATGTACTTTTATCTGGGTGGATCATCAAAATAAGCAGTCCTCCTAATGTCAATCACTCTGCTGATATGTCCAACATGCCCCCATTTTCACTGACCAAAGGTGAGTCTCACATTGTGGAAAAACTGCAAATCTTCTTTTGGAAAATAAGCTTGTATGAGCGATGCAAACAACAACTTTTAAACAGAGCATGCACAAGGAGAAATGGGCTTGTACATGCTACTTTAATAGGCGTTCCCTCTGGGTTGTATAGGGTTGTGCATGTGCATTTTTTTATTTATTTTTTTTTAAGTGGAGAGGACGGTTTTTTGCACAAATTTGTAAAAATCCTCCACTATACCTTTAATTAGGAGACACACAGGTTCTACAGAATTTTTCTTTGAGCATTATAGTTGAAGAGGTTTCAGTATATATATATATATATATATATATATATATATATATATATATATATATATATATATATATATATATATATATATATATATATATATATATATATATATATATATATATATATATATATATATATATATATATATATATATATATATTCTAATTAAAGTTTTTATGTTTTTTTTTGCAAAGCTTTTTCAAAACTGTGTATCTTTTTCTTACCAGCTCATATTTATTGCATTCTTTCTGTCAGGTAAAACTTAAATTCAGCAGTCAGACTTTGTGGTTGCAATGTAAGAAATTGCAGCAACATTGAATATTATGAATACTCTTACAAGAATATATATGTATCTGCAATAGATGTTTACATTGGTATTTTTCTCCTGCTGTTTCCCAGTGGGTTGGGAGCTTCTGATTGGCACTATGTGGGCAGTGCTTGATGGGGAATGGAGCCACTCAGCTAATGGGGCAGCTGGCAGAACCTCGGAATCCATTAGGCCTCATTATAGCTCCTGTTCAGCCCCTCTCTCCTCCCCATCTTCTCTCTCTCTCTCCATACCCATCCTTTTCCATTCCCACCTGTCCAATGCAGTCGACCGGGTTGGGCATGTAACTGCCCTGCTCGACTCGACGGAACATACATCACACCCTCTGAGCAAGTCGGCTGCAGCAGCTGGCAGCTCTCTCCCTGATTGACTTGGCACCCATGCCGATTCAGGCTCCAGGGAACAGTTGGAGTGAGAGAAAGAGGTAAGTAAGGGTGAGGGTGTGGATCCCTAAAGGAGGTATTTACTAACAGCTGGCACGAGTGGGAGGTGTAGTAGTGGGTGTTGCGGTGGTGGTTGGGGATTCCCACAAATCACAACCAAATTCTTCCATCTAGGTCCATATGTGCAAACAGCTACTCAAATAGAAACCCTTCAGGTCTTGATCCATCCCCTGGCTTATTTTCTAAGTTTATTTGCAACACGTCTGCATCCTTGTCTCCTCCCTCTTCATGAGAAGAGAGGTTTAAAGTTGTGGTTTTGTTGCTCAGTTTGTTTTTTCTCCCTGGAAGCTACGGATCATTAGTGTTATTGATGGACACTCAGTATAGTTCCATTGAACAGACAGAGCAGCCGTGCACATGGTTTTAATATGACAAGCCTAATCGGGACATGAGTTGTGGCACAATCAGTTGAGAGGCCTTGATTTGCTCATGGATTAAGCCAGATTAAAAAATAACTCTGCAGGCCATAAGCTCGGTGTTTGAAGGAGGATTTATCCACAGTAGGATATTCCTTGACAGAGCTGAACAAAAATCTGCTTTATACGTTCCTCATGTTGATGTTCAAGAGCAGGCACTTCAGTACATGCTTTCCTCACAGGCCTTTTCCTGAACAGAACTCCACCTAGTGGTGCAACTAGAAAATGTGCAACAACTCTGTTTGGATAAGAACACAACCTCAAATAAGGCCATTGTTTAGAAAATGACCCTGAAACATAAGTGTTAATTTTTTTTTTCCAAAGGCTTTAAACATTTAGAGCAAAAATTTCACTGTGAGCAAAACAAAAACATTCAGAGTGTGGGAGACTTTCTTGATATTGATCTTTTTGGAGCCTTTATGTTTAACATTTATTTTTTTCAGTCAACAACTGCCCTAATGGTGCAAGAATTGTTGAAATGATTCCCCAACCTCCTCAAGTCATTTTGTTATCTGCACAGACAGCTTTGTCAGCTGGAGTTCAAAACACCACAGCCCTCTGGGAGATCCGGTTCAACGCAGAGGGCCAGAAATGATCTCTGGGACGTGAAGCTATGGCAGCAGATTGATAGAATCTTTTTTGTGAAGAGTGGCGTACGCTTAATTGCAGCAAAAAAGTACCCATGATGCGATCTTGCCGTTTACGGGCTATTTCATTGCTGGTTTCCTGGCCCCCGCTTCTCTTTCTCGCCCTCTTGATAAAGAGGCGTGCATGCAGCACTTGGGATTTCTTTTGTTTTTTATGCAGAAATCTTTTAAAGCCATTATTTCTATAAATTTAGACATAATCAAGAAAATATAAAAATCTCATCATAACTATTAAACTAAATCATGTTTAAGTAAGTTCCATAATCAAGTTAAAAAAGGACCTCTGCCAGGAACTCAGGAAAAGCATTTAAACTGTAATTGTGAGCATATTTAAGGTCTGGTATTAGTTTTTTTCTAAATCAAACCACATAGATTTATACATCCAACTCGCTGCTTGCCCACCTTCAAATACACAGGATCTGATACAGTGGTGCAGTGGCCACCCAGAACAAAACAAATGGATAGCCTCTCTGCGCCTGTTTGACTGGAAACAGGTGTGTGTCATCTGAAGATGAAGGCCCAGCCGATAAACATTATTGGAGAACATCTGCTGCTTGTCACAACAGAGGGCGAGCAGCAGCACTGCAACATCCATCAGACACACCGGAGGCTGGATCTTTGTGTGTGTGTGAGAGGTAAGAGGGCTCGATCCTTTGCTGGTGAGCTCGTTCACCCATCGCTCACCCCAGGGATGCTGGATGGATGGGGGATAGTGGGGAGCAAGCTCGGTCCAGGCACTTTGCCGGACCACGTTCGCCTGTGGCCATTAGGCGTGAACATGCTCCAGTGAGCTTGAAAAATGCGACTAGGAAATGTGCACGTGCTATCTGACAGGCACACACACGCACTAGGTGTATA